AAATCTGTTAAAAGAGCTTGCTACAGCACCGGCAGATCCAGCGCAGGCGCACTAGATCACATTGGTGTGAAGCACAGAGACCACGAAGAAGATAGTTTTATTGTTGGTCTTTATGTTTTTCGCTATATGCTCCTCATATTCCCTTTTTGCCTGCCTGATCACAGACTTGTATTTTATTTGCCACAGCCTGTGTTCTCTTTTATCAGTCTCACTGAGACTAGCTTTCCACCGCTGAAAGGAATCCTTACCTTTTACAGCTTCCATTACTTTGTTTGTTAACCATGCAGGCTTTTTTCTATACCTCTTTGTGCCTTTCCTAACCTGCGGTATATATTTTTTCTGCGCTTCTAGGATTGTAGTTTTAAATAGTTTCCAAGTTGCATTCAATGAACTATGGTTGTGATTCCCACTAACAAAAGATATGCCTCTTCTCAACCAGTCTAAGTTTAAATAACGTTAAAGACCAAACTCTGTTGCTACTCATCCCTCTGCGCTTTGTATTTTTTTGTCCATTGAAGTATGGGCTCTCCATGATTGGAGAGATGAGAACCCTATGTACCAAAAGATATAAAAGATGGTTTGGAAGGTTATGGGAGACACTTAAGCTTAAATGTTCCAACTTGCTCTAAAAAGAGAGCTGTCCAATTCTAAGTGTTCCATTTCCCAAGACTATCCAATGAAACTGGGGGGGAGGGGTGTGTTTGTAAATCTAGGGATTCTTCCCAGGCAGGTTAGAACAACTAATAAACTAATAACCCAGATGTTTCTTTTTGGTTTTGATAAGAGATCAGGGAGGAAGAGTTTGACCCTCCTCTGTCTGAATGCAGATGTAGCATAAACTTTGCCATGTTTCCTTGAGCCACTTAAAATTATTTTACTAAAAACTGTTCCTTCACTGTGGAATATGTTTCTCTAAAGTACACTATATACGTTACAGTGAACGCATGAACATTTTGCATGGACATCTGTTTGTAAGAAAAACTAATAGATTTCAGTTTTTAAAAATTAAAACCTGGGGACTAGCACATAAACAAACGTGGGGATGAAAATGCATGATGTGCTAAATGCAGCATAAGAACTGCTCAAAATGCATACAAAGGAAAATCAAATGTACCCTGTCTGTTCCTGTTTTCTGAATCTAACCTGTAAAGGTATCACAGTGAGGGAGGGATAAATCCCTAACTTAGGAAGGCAGCTGCTTATGATTGATGACATTACAATGATTCATAGTGTTATCAGGTCCTTACCTTGATAAGATTGCAATCTAAAATTTTAATGTGAGATGTAGATACAAGGGCAAAAAGTAATGACTGTGAGCAAACTCTTGTTACAAATGCTCTTCAGGCTGTGGTTTTATTTTCTGGGGAAAGAGCGAAACGCAAGGTAATGTGTGCATGGGTCTGTACCTCTTGAGCCAGTTTGGTGTAGTGCGTAAGAGCATGGACTCTAATCTGGGAGAACCGGGTTTGATTCCCCACTCCGCCACATGCAGCCAGCTGGGTGACTTTGGGTCAGTCACAGTTCTCTCAGAGCTATTATCTCAAGAGCAGTTCTTGAAGAGCTCTCTCAGCTCCACCTACCTCACAGGGGGTCTGTTGTGGGGAGAGGAAGGGAAAGGAGATTGTAAACCACTCTGAGACTCCAAATGAAGGGCAGGGTATAAATCCAATCACTTATTCTCCATTCCGCCCCCCCCCCCCAAAAAAAAAAACCCTTACCCAATTTTCATCTTGAAGTAGTGTCTAATTAGAGCTCGGACACACTGAATTAGACTTGTGTTATTCAGGTGGTGAGGAACATTATTGATTAACATCACATAGGTAAGTGCAGGAACACATTACTTCTAAACAGCTCTCAATCCATACAATACTGTTTGTTGAAGAACACTAGAAACTTGACCTGCAACACAAGTGGTTGATTTAAACATCAAGCAGGGTGCCTGGGGAAAATCCCCACACACACACACACCGTTACATCCCTTTAACCTGCCCACTTTTGGGGCTTCCAGGATTTACCTTTAAAAATGTTACAGCGATATCGAATCTCACAAGGCTTTCACAGAACTCAGAGTTTTGTTTTCTCTCAAATTATAAACAGGCCGGATTTCTGCACGCTTCAGCTGAAAAGTGGAATGTAATTTATCAGCTGCTTTCAATCGGGTGGGGAGGGAGGGAGCAAGCTAATGGAATCAGTTCCTCTCTGCAAACAAGGTTAACCCAACTAATCTCTAAAGCCTTCCCTGTGTGAAACACCTATGGTGAGGGGGAGAGGGAAAGGAGAAGTGTCAATAAATCAAGATATGCACAGTGTGTGGCCTGCTGTTATTCCGCATATTTTACATACCCACTCCCCAAATCTGATTTGGCTTTTTAGTTTTCTGGTCACCAGGTCAAACTGAAGCTATGAAGAGATTTGTTTCCAACAAGTTTCGTTTTATCCGTTTAAAAACTTGGAACCCATTTTCATTTTAGCCAGAGATAGATTAATGGCTCCAAAATTGTTTAAATGTATCATTGCTGCTGCGGACCTAACTTCACGTTACTAAGATGTTATGGCATGTCCAGTTTTGCCTCGAGGACTTTGAATCAGAAGTGTGCTATGAGTTCCCCACTGGAAACCCAATTTGGATTGGGGCCACAGCACGCAGCACGCCTATGACTTCCCCCACACTGTTTTCCACACCTGAAATGGCTGGGAAGAGCGCTATTTGCCCAGTTGGGGAAACCTGTGTCTAAGTAAAAGAAATATACAAGCAAGCCAGAGCCGTGTCTGAGGTCGCTGAGGCTCGGGACAATGTCCTCACGTGGTCTTCATGTAGCAAAAAAGGCAAACCAAAACATGGTCCTACAATAAGGCCTACAAGAATGGACGGCTTCAAGAGGGAATGAGATAAGCATATGGAGCAGAGGTCCATCGGTGGCTATTAGCCACAAGGGATAGATAGGAACTCTCAGTCTGGGGCAAGTGATGCTCTGTATTCTTGGTGCTTGGGGGGGGGGGCAACAGTGGGAGGGCTCCTAGTGTCCTGGCCCCACTGCTGGACCTCCTGGTGGCACCTGGTATTTTTGGCCACTGTGTGATGGAGTGTTGGACTGGATGGGCTATTGGCCTGATCCAACATTGGCTACACATGGGACCCCTCAATGGGGCCAACAGCTCCCTCCCGCAGCCATTTCAAGTTGGGAAAATGACTTAAGTCTCCCTTCCCATTTGCCGCCATCCTGAACTGCCCCCCCCCCCAGTGCCTGGGAACTCAAGTCCAAATGTCTGATTGCAAGCACCCAAGTAGGATGTGAGCAAACATAATGTATAGTTAGGCACTGAGACACACCTTCTCTCATTCCATGGATAAAAGGGAGTCAACTTTCACACAGACTCTTCCACAAGGTAAGGTGTGGGCACAAGTTCTATCAAGAAGATTAAAAAAAAAAGAGGCATTAGCCAATTTATCCAAGGTTAAAGGGACTGGGAATAGGTCAACATGCTCTCTCCCTCAACTTCTGCCCGGAGTTAAAGCGAAGCTCTCCTCAAATCGTCTTCATATTGAGTTACTAAAGCAAAGGCTTTAGTTCCCTACCAAAGATAGAACCAATTTGGAACACACTGGGATCCTTCCCTTTTGAGTGACCTCCTCTGATGAGCTCTGCCTCCATATGTGAAGGGGCTACCCCCACTCTCATCTGCAGGCTGTCCTCCTAACATCTCTGGAGAAGCCCCCGGGATTGTGAAAAGCTCTGTGTGACCCTGAAGAAGTAATTTTATATTATGTTTACTGAAGTCACAGAAACTGGCTAGGCCAAAAGAAGTCACACTTCACCTCACAAGGCCCATTTCCTAAAAAAAAAAAGGTCTCATTTCAATAATTTACTGGGGAGATGGGAGAAATAGGAGAACGGAGATAATTATGAACAGAAACTTTTTTAAAAAAATTCCCCCCAGCTTGAGACTGGGGAAGGGGAGTTTAAGGAAATAATATACACCCCCTGTTCATCACTTTTTCTGCTTGCTGTCACCTGTTAGGGTAGTTCTGGCAGAGACAACATTGATGCTCCTTGCTGCTTATCAGGTGTCTGTCCCTCCTCCTTTTCACACATGATGCAGTAAGGAGCACAGGAAGCAATGTTTCTAGCACTGACTCTTCCTCAGACAACACCACATAACCAAATCTCACTGGCTGTGTGGCACACCATCATGAAGCCTTGCTTCGGCCATTTCATGAGGTAAGAGGAAGAGAAGAACGTGCTGTCAAGTAACAACCAATGCATGGTGACCCCATCCACAGGACATTCCAGGCAAGAGACAAGCAGAGGTGGTTTGCTATATTGCCTTCGTCCAAACAACAATCCCAGTCTACCTTGGTGGTCTCCCATCCAATCACTGACTGTAGCTGACGCAGCTCAGCTTCCAATTCTGATAAGCTCAGGCTAGGCTGGACTATTTGGGCTGCTTTCATAAGGTAAAGAAAGAAAAAACAGGGGGACCAAGCAGCAGCAGTGAGTAGCATTGCCACTGTGCAGGCACTATGCATCAGCTTGAAATCCTCTGAGAGAGGGGGAAAGACATCAAAATATCCCCTAAACGTACCACCCTTTCCACAGGCTGTGAAGCTGGAGGGGAAAGTTTTGACTCAGCACTGAACAAAAGGCTCAAAAAATAGTTTGCAAGGCATAGCTGGAGATAATGAACACCACAAGACACAAAAGCATTTTAAAATGAAACAGAATCGCAGTTATCATAAACACTGAATGGCAGGCAAAAATACTCTTTTTCCGCCTCACTAAAAGTACTGGCAGTAGGCTGCAGTAAAGAGTTTCAAGTATGTCCAATTTCTCTTAGAATGAGTTGCTGGTTCTCTTGTGAATAGAGGCAAGCAAAGGAAGATTCGCTAACAAGCACCCTTTTTGTGGAACAGCTGAAGAGAGGAGATGTGAGTGGGCCCTTATCCATTTACCGTATTGCGTAGTAGCAACAGCATAATTCCAAAATGAAATGTAATTTACCTATAACTACATCGTGGCCATCAACCAGCCCTGCAGAGAACAGCTCTTGAGATACGCCATCTGCTGTATCTGTGCAAAAATGTGAAATGAATATATATATGTATCAGTCATCGTAAAACTGGAAAAACAAAGCAAAAAGATATAAAACCAGGGCAGTTTGTTAAACAGAATATATCTAACCTATAAACACCCATCATCATTATGTGCTGCAGCCAAAAGATTCTTGGCTTAGTGATTCCACATGTTTCCCCTCTGTGGATAACCATAATTTTCAGCACAGGAGAACTTGGAAGATTAATCTTTTCATTCTTCATGAATCCTGTGAAGCTCATTCATTAGGCTGCCGGAATGCCTCCTCAGCTTAGAGATTCTTATTGCAGTGCAGGCAGTGATAGAAGAAGAACCTTGAAATAAACAGGGGGTGCTTGCCACAAATTCTTCTCTCTTTCCTCACTTTTTATGGGGTCTTAAATTCAACAGAAACATTAAGACCCATGCTCATGAATACTTTGGGAAACAAGCATGGGGGGGGAGGGGAGCCCACCTGAAACTTGTTCTGCATAAAATGTAGCATTGCATTTGGAATGGAAGGGACAGTGTCTATTTTTAAAAGATGCTCTACCAGAAGGGATGGGAGCTGGCCACAGGTGCCAATCAGTGTTTATAGCAGCTGTGTATTTTTAACTGGTTAGTTTCCCCCACCCCGGTCTGTGCAATCCTTTCACAGCTAGAGTATTTCAAGCAATCTCATCTGGAAAGAACATATTTCTGTATCATTTTGTCTACGTCCCTGTATTATTGTGACCAAAACCTGCCCCCATGTAACCTCTAAAGGAACACCAGGCTTGTGTAAAGGAGAAAACTGTGTGTACAACTGGATCTTTGGACACATTTTTTTTTTTTTTTTGCCACAGAAGTTCTGACAGCCAAGGAGAAAGACTGTTCTTTGGGTTAAAAGGCAGGCCAGTCTTGCTGGCTGTTAGAGTACCTCCATAATACCATAAGGAACCTTCATGATGTGAAGCTGGGGACACTAGAATTTATCATTAGTTATGGCTTACAAATCACATGAGGGAAGTTTCTCGCCATGAATTCTTGTTCTTGAGAGAAGAAAGTGGGTATTTCTCTCTCCCACTTACCACCTGGCCCAGTCATCTGCCTGGAAGGAGCATCATTCCTTCCAGGCAGATGATTGAGCCAAATGATAACTGGCTTCTCCACAGGAAGAGCATCTGTTCTCTCAGACAGACTGGAGAAAGCAAGAACACCACATTCCTGATGAGAAGAGGGGGACACTGATGGGATGTTGTGCCTAACTTAATTCCCACGCCTCTTTTGGTATAGTTCGACACAGATAAAGGCATGGGGACAGGAGCTGTTGAGACATGTTTCTGCCAGGTTCTTGTATCAGCCTGGGTTCTCCTGGGCATGCCTGGCAAATGCCAATCTCCTTCCCAATTATTCATTGTGCCATTAGTGCAAACCACCCAAGCTTTGTTCAGTGCCCAAGAAGCTCCTCATGAAAGTACCTTTGGGTCATGTGGACTAGAAGCCAGCCATGGGCAAAGTACCCTGAAGGGTTTGGAAGAGCTGAAATGGCACATACATTTCCTAAGACTGGAACAATTGTGTCCTAGCGGGGTCACTTACTAGAAGCCACCAAAGCTTCCATATGTTTTATATTATGCCTGCAGTTACAATTTCTGCATAGCAACCACTTACTGATATGCCACAATAAATC